CCCCAAAACCCCAAAACCCCAAAACCCCAAAACCCCAAAACCCCAAAACCCCAATCCTTTCAAAGGAATTATACTATTATTTTGTTTTATTTTGAAATAAGATGGAAGCTAAGGATAACATTACAATCAAAATAGAGCGGTTCAAGGAAACAATGAACCATAATCTCCAAGAAGTCGCTCAGTCAAAACAACTTTTGATGCCAGATAACCAGGTACTGTTACTCGTTAATCTTAGGTGGATTCCGATGAGGAACAAATGGTCTCACTTTCTCCCTTTATGAAGCAATGTAATTCTGTAAGGTCAATTACAAGCAGTGACTCGGATGATTTTGAGAGGTCAGAATCCCCTGGAACCTTTAATATCCACAATAGCCCCCTTGTCAGGAGTCGGGAAATCCTAGAGAAAAGGAAGGGAAAGAGTACAAGGTATAATCCTGACTTACTCCAAAAGTTATTTGACTCTAAACTCAAAGAAATTAAGCCGTTTTTGAATAAAGAAATCGGAAAGCAGGACGAAAGGATCCGATACGTCCTAGAAACTTTGTGAAAGGACTTTCTGGATATTCTGATTTATGAGAAGCCTCGAGATATTTCAATGAGCTACATTAACCTGCACAATTTCGATAAAGCCCTTGTTGAGATGATCAAGAGTCATAAGTATAAATAAAATGGGCAAAGAAATAGAGAATATCGAGGGAGATTTAAAATAAGGAATGCATGGACCTACTCTGAACTATCAATTTTGAGGACCTAGACAAGGACTCCCCCATTTCGCCGACAACTCATAAGAATACTGATTTAAATGAACTCTCAAATTTTGAACTTAAGGTAGCTAAGACCTTAAGGGATGAGATAATTCCTTCTCCAATTAAGAGAGTTAATTCTTCATTGCTTGACAACATTAAAATGGCACTCGAGAAGGCAACCAAAAGGATCAAACAGCAAGGTAATTTTTAGAGCTAATCTTTAGACGAGCAGTTCAGAGATATGAGGTATAAATATCTCAAAGAACTCCAGGCTTACAGAGATCAGCTATTCAAACTTGAGAACTATCCTGACAACTTCGAGCCAATGGATGTGAAGTACTTCACAGGACTCGAGATCCTTGATGAAAAGACAAGAGAGATCCTTGATAAGAAGGTAAAGACAATTACTGAGGATTACAACTTCAAGCTGCTCAGGATTCATACTCATAACATGAAGCTTGAAGATAAGATCAAGAAGTTCGAGTTACTGTGAAAGGGTAAGAATGTTGCTATCTCAATCAACGAGCTCAACGCCGATGATATCGTGCAAAAGCTGTCAATTGTGGAGAGCGATGCTCTTCCCATATGGGAAGGCTTCGTTAAGCACTATGGCAATGGCTTCTTCAACAAAATGATCGAGAAAGAGTTCGGTATTAACCCTGATACCCACGAAGAGATTGGTAATAAATTTGGCCAAGAGGTCAACAACATCAGGCTTGAAATGATCGAAAAATTTGAAAAACTAAGTAAAGAGTCTAAGGAACACATTGATCAACTAAAAACCAAGCTCAGACAAAAGCAGACAGAGATGCTAGCTTTAAGAGAAAACCAGGAAGAAGAAATCACCAAACTTCGTGAAACCATGAAGAAAGAACTCGAACTGTACTTTAGCGAAGAGAAAGCAGCTGATTTTAAAATCTACGATGCTGAGAAAAGTGACCAATACAAGATCATAAAAGATCTTGAGGACCAACTCAAGGATTATCAAGATGGGAAATCTCCAAGAAAAATAGCTGAAGCAAAGTCTAAGGCCAAAGCAGAAGAGTTCAAGAATTTTCTTTCTCAAGTAAAAGGAGACAGTCCTCGAAAGGAAAAATCAAAACCTTCTGTTGAAGATCAAAAAGAATCGAAAGAAGAACAGATCACCAAAAGCAAGGATTGGCCCTTACCAAACCAAGATATTATAGATGACCTTAGGGAAAAGAATAAAGAGATAGAGAAAGAGATGCTTAACTATAAATACCTAGCAACCGTTGGGGAGAAAGATCTTAAAAGGGTGAAAGATAAATATAAAATTGCAATGAACGACATCTCGTTCCTTAAAGATAGTAAGAACTTATCCCTCATCAATAGCAAACGACAAGCTCAGATCTGAGACCGACTCATTTGATAACATCTTATCATCTTTGCAGAATGCGAACAAGGAGAATTCAGGATATGTCTCAGCGCTAGAGTCTGATAATGAATCATTAAAATCCCAAGTAAAGAAGCTTACATCCATAATGCCACCAAACAGACTAGCATTACTCGATAAGCAGAGTCCATTTGCCATTATAAACAAGCAGAAACAGAAAGGTAAGATCAGCTCTCCAAATTTCTAGCTCAGTTTCAAATGAATGCTAATTATCTCTCAACTCAAAGAGCCTTACTTAGAGAAGCAACTATGGGTAGAGGAACCCAGACTGATATCTGCGGAACAGATCAGGAACTAGTCGGAACAGTCACTCAATCTGTCAATATTGATGTCCCAGTTTTCGAAAAGGAAATCCAAGTGGAATTTGGAAAACTTGAAACAACCGAAGCCGAAGTCGAAACTGGTAAGCAACATTTATTATTATCTAGATCTTAAAATTGAAGATATTAGTCACAAAGAAGATCAGATAAAGAAATTAAACGATGAGAACTTCAAGCTTGAGAAAGAAGTCTCTCACCTAAATGACCTTGCCTCTGAAAGAGAGTCTGAATTCAATGCTAGCCTTAAACGGATCCATACTCTCGAACGAAGTAAGAAAGCCTGCCTAAATTACAGCCAAAGGGGAACAAGTAGATAATGAGAATAACATTGCCCTGAATGAGTGTGACAAAATCGATGAGGATAGTGAAACTAGTATCTCCCCCACTTTCAACAGAACAAATGATAACCTGCAAGATCATAAGAAAGATGAAGAGATTGTCAATAAGCTTGACAATATCATCCAGACCAGCGATAGAAGAAAAAGAATGAGGAAGAATGTTGAGCTAAACCAACCTAACACAGGCCAAGTGATGGAGAAGTTTGACCAACTATACACAATTTGGAAAAAGAAATTTGAAGCAACAACTAGCGACATGAAAGATGATGTAAGCTTTTGGATCTATAGGTTATGAGCTTTTAGGAGGTTGATATCAAAGTGCCAACAACAATCCCTGAGGAGTTTAACGAAGTGTTACAACAAGCCTTGAGCCAGATTTCATTCCCTCTTGCTCCAGAGCAACTGAATTATAGCACTATATCTCATTTACCTAACAAACAGAATTATGACTTGACTGAATCGGCTCATAAGAATTCGTATTCTCCTCCTGGAGGTCCAAAGATTGGTAGACCTATTACTAATACATAGAATGGTTGCCGAAACCTAAAAAGGCAAGAAAAAGAGTAAAAACTATTGTAAAAAGGCCAGTATTTAACATTTTTCCATTCAATCTCCGCTGGATGGATAAAATAATGACCAACGCTCATGAAAAATCAAAGCTTGTTCAGAATGTAGCTACACAGACTCCATCCGGACCAGAAGAGTTTGAAAACTTGATTTCATCCCAAGATGTTAGTCTGAATATCGAGAATAATGATATCAATCCTTACAATTATGAAAGATCTTCTAAGACCAAGACTGTACAATGAAGGTAAGATTCCAAATAAATTTATTTTAGTCCCACAATAAAAACTAGGCACATTAAGAAATCCAAAGCTGAACATAGTAAGCAAGCATGACTAATCAAGTAGACTTAAGCGTTAATCGTTCAATTGACAATCCCACAACTCGCGGACCTAGCGCCATTGATGGGCTGAGTAAGATTCATGCTGGGATATTCTGAAACATTTTGCATAAAGTGTTTTATGCTTAGTTTTATTTTACATTACTGAGGTTGAATCGTTAACCTTAGCAATAGGGAGTAAATACAACCACAAAAAGTCAAAATCCATTAGTAAAAATTCCAATATGTACCCAGCGACATATACTAAGAAATCCAAGCTCTTCAGCAGACGGACTAAGACCCTTCTTCAAAACCAGTTTGAGAAAGGAACTTACAATGGTAAATTGTGCTACTCTAAAATATTTTAATTATCAAAATTTAGAGTATCAAAATCAGAACTCCAAGAAAGGCCAAAACCCAGAAAGTTCCTTCAGATATACCAACAGCCAGCTCTTTGATGAAGAAAATGAGGAGATTCTCAGCAGGAACTGCGATACCTCTATGTCAATCAGAGAGACTTCCAAGGGTAAAGGTGGCCGCAGGAGTCAGGTCTTTATGAAGAATATGCACATGAGCTACTATAAATCCCTAAATCAAGTATTTCATTCCCTGTAATTACCTAAATTAGACAGTTGCGAATAAAAAGAACAGAAAACCAAGCATAAAGCATATGGCTGTCGGAGGCAAGAATATATTCAAACCAAGAATCATGAATGATGGCTCCACAGGTAGAGAGAATAATGTGGCCGATGCTTACCCTCCTAAGAAATCTGCTGAGATCAACATGAATCTTATTATTTCGAAGAAGAAAAAGAAGAATAGGAGAATTATCCAGAACATCGATGGTACGATCAGCTTTGAACACATTAAAAACCCTTTGGTGATCTTACAGTTTGTTGCTTAGATAACCAACCATCAGCAAGAAAGTATCAACAATTTACAAAGGAAGGAGACCAGGTTAGGAATTTACCCAGAACTCTATAGGAAGGAGGCCATACAACAGATGAAAGACCTATAACAGCCTTAGCAGAATCTGAATTTTACACTAATACAGTTCAGTATCCCCCAGCTGAATCTGATGGAAGAAAATCCTCTATTGGGATGGATAATGAAGGTAATATTGCATATATAATTCTTCAGAGATGACATTTGTAGGTAAAGAAGGCTTATTTGGAGATGTTTCACACAAAAGATCCATTTCTCAGATAAACCATGATTAAAAATGCTTCAATCATTATTTACCAAATAGGGGTTTTGGGGTTTTGGGGTTTTGGGG